CACAGCGCTGCCTTCATTCTTAGCCAAGGGCTTAAAATGCCACACGGATGCTAGACCATAGTTCACTAAACATATCTAATCTCACTCCACGTGGATTTTAGATTAGATTTTTCTAATGCGTATGTGACTGGGTCTGATAGACTTCTGCCTTTTTAAAAAGAGAGCATGACCCCTGCACTCCTTGCAGACACAAGACTGCCACTGATGTCAATGGAGCTTTGGATGAGTGAGGAATGCCAGACTGAGTACGGAATGCCAAGTGGATTTGTGTTCAGAAGGATTTCAACCAGGGGAAAAGTCATTTCTTTGGCCATTTATCCAGAGAATCCCCAAGACTCTGAATAAAACACCACTTTTTAATAGACACTGCAGCTCAGAAGTTCAATTTTTTTCACTAGTTTACAATTACGTGATTGATCAGAGAAAGCGAACGCTAATAAAAACCCAACAAAACCCGTAGCCTTCCTCCAAATCATTTCCCGAGCAGATTATTAAACTGCTTCTTTTCAAACAAGTCCTTTTGTAGCTAAACACAAATTACCAAACAGGTTTTTAAAAAGGGGAGTTATTAGACTCTGAAGGATTGAGCAGACGTGGGAAGTTCTATAAACAAATCACTCCAGAAGATTTGCAGAGATCACTTTCATCTCACTTACAGGGTCTTAGGAGACCTGCATTAATTATCCTTAAGGCCTTTCACATGGACTATCTAAAATAAATGAAAATTTATTTATTTATTTCAAATGAGGCACTCCGCCTGAAAGTATTAAATAAGGTCTACAAATTTAAAAGCATTTTTATGAATAGGTAATTAAAGAAACAGAAGACTAAAATTAAGTCAAGCTGCAAAACATTACCCAGAATCCACTGTGAGGGGTTTTGCTCTTTTCTTTTAAAAGCACATTTAAGACTACATTTTTGCTACCAAATGCCCACGATGATGGGCGAGCAGGGTCTGCTGTGGGAAGTCATAAGACAAAATACAGAATAGCCAAACAAAAAACTAGAATATTTACAAGATTGTCCCTAAAGTGTCATTTGTCATATTGCAATTACACCTTGCCTACTGCAAAGCCCGAGTCCTTAATAATGCCACTAGAGGGAAGTGTCTCAACACACGGTAGACAGGGAATGGGTTTTCTTGAGCAATTACCATAACAAAGCTCATGTGGTTGCATGTACCTTCTAATTACTCACTACAATTAAAATGACTAACCCATAACAAACAGCAAACAAACAACTAACCCCCATCCTGTCTGTTCTCAGAATCGTCATTAAATCTTACATTGGTTTCCTCATCTATCAAGCGGAGGGGAAAGGGTATGGCACAATGTGCAAGTACCACAGGACTATTCAACGGAGTAAAAGCATTTAACAAAAACAAAGAGCAAGGAAAACGGGATGTCTTATGGAAAAAAAAAAAAGAAAAAGAAAAGAAGTGCCGTGGTATTTAGCCATCTGGTAGCTGTTTGAAAACAAACTGCTCTCAAAAGAGCAGAAATGCAGTACATCCCCTCTGAGGTCACTGGCTTATGAATGAGACTTTTTTAAAGAAATCCAAAC